TGTCACCGATGACTGGTTGTCCTGGAGAGTGTTGAAAGAGACCCAGGTCACAGGCCATGCTCACGCTCCCTCCTCAAACTAGCCAGTCTTTCTAAGAAGAGGCATGACTCTGCTCCAGAGCACCTTGTAACCACAGCTCCTCTTTGGGAAACAAGTCACAGGGTAAAACATTGCCCTCCAAAGTGCAGTTTCCTGCTAATATGAAGATAGAAATTAGCCTACAATGTCTTTGATAACTATCTGGAAGCAGAAACACGATGGATAAGTGCCTCTCCAGGGCTTTTTATTTTCCATCTAAATAAGCTTTGCTCCAGGGCTTTCTGTTTTCCTTCCAAATAAGCTGTGGTTTTACTTTTCTGTCAATTTACCAAAATGAGAACATTGCAGGTAATCTGCTGTAAAGTGTAATCTAGTTTTCTGGTAATAAGCAGTAATTTTAGGCCAACCATTAAACATTCTTCCATACAGAGCCTGAGTGGTTTTATTGCTGAAAACAAGTGACACTAGGAATACTGATCCAGGAATGAGCAGCTGGGGAAAGCTTTATGAGCAAGCTACTCCAAACCTCCTCCTCTTCAGCTGAGCAGCTTCCTTCACATATAAATGTGCCTCCTTGTATTTTGGCAGCACAAGTTGGGCATTGTGAGCTTGGCTAGGAGAGACTACATTTCTTACTTAACAGATTCACTTATCAGGAGGCACTTATCATTAGGGAATGCTTAACTTAACACTCCTATTTCTCCTTTGTCCTCGGTGCCAACATTTACATGTTCATACGAACAAACATACACTGCTACTGTATCTGTTCATCAACTTCCTTATTTTCAGGAGGCAAGATCTCATGAGTTTCTCCCATGACAGGGAAGTGCAAATGGATGCAGTAGTGTGACAGGTGAGATAACCATGGCATAGGGGAGAGGCTAAAGCAGATGAGGATGGTCCCCAGGAGACCTCCTTGGAGTCAAAGGTGTCTTCAGATGTTCCTGTGCCTCCCTCCACTGTGTAGCAATGTTATTTAGCTGCTTCTCCATACTCTCATACTAAAAAATCAGACATCATGCAGATTAAAAACGGGATTGACCAACTCTATCTGGGTGACATGGACTTACAGAGCAAGATAAAAACTCCAAGAGAAAAATCTTCAAGCTGTCGAAAAATAAATTGCCATGCTCAGACAAACTGCACAATTGCTCCAAAGGGGTAAAGGTATGTGGGAGTTACAGGTCATCACAATGACACCAGCACGCACAGAACCATGCTAATGCAGCCCTGCACCTTCAGGACCCAAGCAAACATCTCTGCATGATCATGCTCTGGTGAAACAAGACTTTCTAGTGGGCATACAACTCAACTCTCTGCATAAATTACACAGTATGGATAAACAACCTGTTACACATTGCCAACCATTTTCAGTGTCATGACTTCAACATGCCTAAACAACCCTTAATATTCAAGAATTTACTTCTTTGGTTGAAAGATAGACTGGTCCTGGCAGCTGCTCTTCCTGGCCTACAAGCAAGAAAAGAGATGGTTCAGCCACCATAAGGCAGGACACTTTGCACTGCATGGGTCCCTTTTACCAGAGCCACCAAGGCTCCAGATGTTCCTCTTCTCTGTCCCTCATCCATCCCTCATGGGTGGGACAAGGACATTGCTCTATTACTTCCCAGTCAGCAATAGCCTCTGCAGGGCTCCACAAGGAAAGTAGAGAAGAGCCAATCCTAGACTAGACTGTTAATTAACAGCACTGGTGCCACAAATCAGCCTCTATTATTAGAAGATGAGTGGGAACTTTCTACACTTTCATCTTCAAAATATCTCAAAGGTGCTTCACAAATACAGCACAAATCTTTCCTTCCTGCCATATACCTCATGGGACTTGTGCTAACTCTGGGCTCCCCTGTTGAACCGAGTGGTGTGGGGGAGTGAAGGGAGCTGTTTAAAAAGCAAATAATGTCTGGCTTTCAACACAACTTTATTTTGCTGTTCTAATCTCTCCATATTGGTGTGACTTGATCTGAAAATTAACAAGAGACCAACCACATCAAAACTGAAATCCCAGTAGAATGTCCAAATTCTTTGTGCATTTGGAAATCTCCCACTGAATCTGACATTACAGTGTTAGAATAACAGCAATGTGTAGTTTGGGGTCACTGCCTTAATGTCGCAGACACGCTCTCCCAAGTGGTCTGCATTTCATTTCAAACAAAAACAAGTGACTGAAGCAAGGGATCCTGGCAGCCAACCACATAAGGCTGGATTAGTAGTGGTTGTCTCAGTGTAATCAACCCTTTCTTTTCCCTTTTTAACATAAAAAAAAAGTCTGAACTGGACATTTACTGGGGAGAGAGCTTCTAAGTGGGAATTAACTGTTATTCACAGGTAGTTTTTGCAGAGAATAGTACCATAACTGCCCCTTACACTCCCTCCAGGCCACTCTCCAAAGAAGAAGCAAATTTATACAGTCATGGGTTTGACTAGACACAGTGATTTTATATACTTAATTTTGAAGGATTTGGTTTGGCTGACTTTTTAAATTACTGGCAATCAGAATACACACACAATTGGTCCTGCCTATGGCGGCCATGTAGCTGAGTTTCAAAACCACAAAAATACACGCAATTTTCTTGTCTACAGCTTTCCAATTTCCCTGCATACACGGATTTCCTACCAGAGAGCTGCAGGCAGCTTGCCATTCAGCCTGTGGCGTTTCTGGCTTACCCTTCAGAGAGGCCTCAGCCCCTCCAGGATTGAGAAAGGAGACAAAATTCATCGCTGTCATTCAGGCTGATCCTGCCCTGGATAAGCATGGCACATTGTGGTATCAAAGTCAGATTTGGGGGCATTAAAGAGGCACTGTGAATCTTCTCCAAAGAGACTCAGGAACTTGCCCAAGGTCCCTCAGGAAATCTGTGGCAAAACAGAGAATATCAGCTACTTCCTTAGCACATCTGCATCTTCAAAAATGGGTGAATGGTCTCAGTCATGTAACAAACTCACTGTACCAGAGATCTGCTGCAAGACTGCCCACAGGGAACACAGTTCTCCCTCTGATAAATAGGGGAGCTGCAATTACAAGCACTGTAAGAGCTGGAGGCAAAGGTAATGGAGAAGAGCTCTGGAGACATAAGGAGCTCAGCCAGGTGGGTGAGGATTTCCTTTAAATCCCTCCTGCACACAAAACCATGGCATGGAAAGCCAAAGGTTACATCTTCTCTGTCCTCAAGTTCTTCCAGATGTCTTAAATGGGCCACTTGCACCCAAGGGATGAGGCCATGCACATAGTTATCAATCATGTTAGTAAATGAAATGTTTCAAGTTAATTTTGCAGTAAACTAATAAAAGAAAGAAAGGAAGGCTAACCTCTGCTAAAGTCTTCAGTCCATGTTCTCCCACTCAAAACAACACAACTGCCTCTTGTCTGCTGTATTATGAACTTTTGCTATCGTATCTGGGAAAACCTTCCAATGATAAGGACCATGTCCTCCCATACTACAAATCAGTCACTTGTTGAGCAGGGGAAGTGTTATGACGGCAACAGCAAATCTGTCAGCTTAAGGGTTACACTACCAGCAAACACCAACCCTGTGCAATTTCTTGCGAATTTACCACTGACATTTGGAAGCCAAAGCACTTGTATCAACTTAAATGCTGCAAGTTTCTCTTAAAAACCCTGGATGCAAGAGGGAGAAGGGATGTGGGAAACTCTGGCCTTTAGCCAAATTATAAAAGAAATTATTCACTGGCTGTGTAGGTTCATTACTCTGGTTCTGCTATAAATTTCTATTATGAGATATTATTGATTCATAGCCATAAATGCACTGGATGCTAGAATCTTTGCTCAAAAGTTTTCACAGTCCCAACCCTGCACTTGGAAAGACTTGTGCTTACTTTCAACATCCAGAAGCAGATCCCATTCATCTCCACAACATCAGCCAAGTCATGTTTCTAATTTTAGTTGTTCCTACTGACAGCTGAGTAACACTGGCACCTTCCAAATAATCCCTTGATTTGCTGACATCACGTATGCTCCTGGGAGGATACATATAGTCAACATGCCCTACACAGATGGACAGAGCTAACTGATTAACTACTGATGTTTGGGAGATTACAAGCTTAAGTGAGGTATGATCACTTACAGTGGCCAAAAAGACAAAGGAATCAGAAGACGCAAAGGACTCTTGGGGTTCTTGGGTTTCAAGTTACCAGAATGAAAGTCTCTTAAAAAAAAATCAGTTCTGAATTGAAAAGAACACCACAGCAACTTCTGAATGTGTTGAAAAAGCTAATAACTGAGAAGGAAAAATATAAAAAAGTAATCTTCAAACCCAGTCAAATATAATGTGGTAGAATCATGTAATCACAGGATGTATTGGGTTGGAAGGGAACTTTAAAGCTCATCCAGTCCAACCCCTGCAGTGAGCAGGGACATTGATACCAGATCAGGTTGCTCAGAGCCCCATCAAGCCTGGTCTTGAATATCTCCAGGGATGGAGCCTCCACCACCTCTCTGGGCAACCTGTGCCAGTGATCTACCACCCTCATAGCGAAGAACTTTTTCCTAATATCCAATCTAAATCTACCCTTTTCTAGTTTAAAACCACTACCCCTCATCATGTTGCTACATGCCATAGTGAACAGCTCTTCCTCAGATTACTTATAGGCACCTTTCAGGTATTGGAAGGTCACTATAAGGTCCCCCCCGGAGCCTTCTCTTCTCCACTGGTCACTGGTCTTGCAGTGTAATTCTGTGTCAACCACATCCCTGAATTTTTATTGACTAGAGTTGCAGCAAAATTAAGAAATTCATCAGCAAAATCTAATTCAGTCCTGTCTAAACTACAAAGATGAATTATCCACTAAGTTATGTGAGATGTCAGTGCTCTCATTCCAGGTAGCACTGCTTAATACAGGCCTATGCAGCACCGGCACAGACTGTTGCTGCCTGGCCAAGGAAAAATGAAGTCCAAAATGAACAGATCCAGTTTAGCACACAATACCTGAAGGGAAGTACCAACTGAACAGGCAACATCTTCTTTAATTAAAGTTGCATAGGAGTGGGGATAGCGAGAAGGACACATCTGATGACTTGGTACAATACGGCCATAAAAAGAAGACTGAATGCTGATGGTGGTTCTGTGAGGACATCTCAAGGAGACATATTCTCCATCGCAGGCATGGTCAGTGTAATTCCTTAGTACTTGTGATATGTAACCTGCAAAAACCATGACAAAAACCATCATTAGCGAAAGGTAGTTAATATTTAGGTGATTTACAGCAGTGCAATCTAACAAACACAACTAACAAGAAATGAGGGATGCAGATTTCATTACTCATCTCTCACACGTGCAAGAGAGACAATGACATGGTGGAAGGGAGAGGCTTGGTTATTTGGCCTTCAGCCATGTTATATATGCTTCGTGGAAGCAATATTCAGATGCTGAAAACTCTTAGTCCAATCATATCAGTTATTTACATTGGCATAGCTGTCAAGTTTACAGGAAACGCAGCTGAGCCAGACTGATCATTTAGACCACATCCAGATACCACATGCAATTTTTGGCCCCACAATAAAAGACAGACTTCAATAAACTGGAGTGAGTTCAACAGAAGGTCACCAAGATGGTTAGGAGCTGGGGCACTTGCCCATAAAGAAGTGGCTTATTTAGCCTGGAGAAGAGACAGCTTTGGGCAAAACTAATAGCAATATCCAGGCTCTTCAGAGTGGTGCATGGTAGGAGAATGAGAGATAACAGGCACAAGATGAAACAGGAGAGTTTCAGACCAGCTATATGGATCAACTTTATCACTGTGAGGGCAGTCAAGCAGTGGAGCAGGTTGCCCAGAGAAGCTGTGCAGTCTACATCGTCCTTGGAGTTTTTAAGACCTTCCTGGATAAAGCCCTGAGCACCCTGTCTGACCTTCTAGTTGACCCTGTTTTGAGCAGGTTAGATTGGAGAACTGAAGTCCTTCCAACCACACCTTCCTGGGAACATCTCATTCCTGTGATCATGGGCAAGAAAGGTCCAGACACAGAGCCACTAAGGGGAAAGTTGGGGTTACAGTTGGTTGTATGAGATCTTATTCCATCATGGCACACCATTCACATCTTTGATCTCCCTTCACAATATAACATTTTAATTCTTCTGATTGCAGCTTTTATTCTAGGCCTTTGACACAAAAGCTTTGCTTCCTCTCCAATTCTGCAAAGCTTCAATCTTTTTAGAAAGAAAACAGTATGCAGAACCAAATTTCTTCTTGTTCGTTAGAGGATGACATTATCCACAATAATAAAGTTGTTAACAAGGATAAAGCATGGGGACAAAGCCTTATTGAAGTCACACGGAGTTAAAAGGGTGGATTGCAGCCAGGCTGCCATGGCAACTGCCAAAGAAATCCTGACTTTGCCACACTCGCACAGGAGGGAAAGCCACTGTGGTGCTGATATAGAGACATCTGTGCACGGGACTCTATAGCATGTCCCATTTCAGTGTCAGCAACAGTCCCATTCAACCCTGCAGAATTCCTTTCTGTAATGAGTTTGGAAGTCCTCTTCCCACTTCTGGCCACCAGCACAAGTCTACCAGCAGCAATGCCACAATGCCCTGTCCCTGTCTTAAGAGGCAGAGTAGAGAGAAAAAGCAAAACCATTAGGCGAAACAAGAAATACCTGGACAAATTCCTACAAGGGAACCCGAGGCACACCTTAGACTTGTATTTAAAAAATGGCTAAAATGTTATCATTCTCTTGGTGGCCCATACTCATAGAATAATTTAGGCTGGTACCTCTAGTTCAACCTTCTACTCAAAGCAGGGCCAACTCAGACCGGTTTTCCCAAGGCCTTGTCCAGTTCTGTATATCTCCAATGATGGGGGCTCCACGACTTCTCTGGGCAACCTGTGCCAATGCTTTACAACTTTTTGAGAAGAATTCACATGGCTTGCTCAGAATCATTTCAATGTCAACTCTAGCTATCCTTGTAGACACATCTGTAGGGTGTATTTACTCCTTTAAGTTAAACACACTGTCCCTGAGGCCATACCCAGCAACTTGCTCTTACTCTAGTATGGCCTCATCCAGAGATTTTACTTTGAATAGTCCTTCTTCTATACCAACACTGAAATCTAGCCCAGGACTTGCGTGAAAGAATACTGGTCCAAAAAAATTTCAAGGTGCTGAAAACCACTATAACTGTTGTTCTTAGAGATAACCAACACACAGGAATTTAGCTTCAGCATTCAAGCAGCCACTATGAGGGCTGGATTCTCTGACTTCTCTAAATTTTAGCCTGCAGTTCTTATTTAACAGTGCTGCTGCTGCAGTGCCTCAAGGCGTGTGCCAAATAGCTGTTTACTCAAATCAACATATTAATTTCCAAGTCCCCAGGGCAGCATTTGCTTATAAGAAAAAGGCTGAGGCACAGCCCCAGCAATTAGAGCAAGTGACAGGGCTGCATCAGATCAGGGAACAGCACTGTTTAATTTAGTGCCTTTATCTCACTTGTTTAAGGAAATGCTCTGGGGATAAAATAAACTACGGGAGTGAATCTCCTTTCCCAGTCAGTGGGATACCTGCCCTGAGTGATGCTGCACACCTAGTCCTTGAGTCAGATCAGCTCTTATCCCTCAAAAGTAAGGCAACCATATAAGATGGGCATCAGGAAAAGCTAGCTACAGACAAAACAACACCAAATAATAAGAGCAATGTAACACAAACCATTAAACCCTACTTTCCAAGCTATTACTTCAGTGCATTAGGATTTTTCCCTGCCCTATTAGGGAGCCTGAGAAATACAACCAAAGTGCAGCCATGACTCTGTTGGCTCCTCTGAATATTCAATTATTCTGTCAGAACAGCCATCCCTCAGCATGCCTTTCATACTACCAGTTCAGGATCAGGGAAGGTTTCAACCTCTGCAATTAGTGCAGATCACTTGTTGGAACAACTCCTTCCTCTCGTTTTCCATCAGGAATCTCAAAATAACTTGAGTTCGTTCAAGCTCAAGATATTGAAGGGACTGAATGCTTTGATGGTGAGTGGCTAATAATAAACAAAGCACAATGTCTGAAACATCTGGCACTGACCACTGTCAGAGTGAAGATACTGGATTAGGCTTGGGCACGGTCAGGTATGACATGATGCTCTTCAAAGAGCAAAAGGAAGTGGCTGTAGAGAATTTATGCTCTTGTTTTTTCCCTCTTCAAGTGTGCTAAATTTGTATTACATTCATTGGTAGTTCTTCTGAAAGCATTGGCATTTAATTATCCATTAATTCATGGATCAGTAACCCAAAATCTGTATTATTTTCAGCATCCTTACTAAATTTTCAGTAACAAGTACCCAGTGACCTTTTGTACTGCTACATGTGATACCAGGGAAGGGACTACTGGGACGTTCTTTACTGAATGAAATGCATAAACATGTAGCCAATGGCAAGTGTTTGAGGGTTTCAGTGACACTTGTATGCCAGGGTAAGAACCACTTCATAAATACACAGGGAATAGCTTACAGAGCTCATTGACTCTTTCCTGGCAAGCATGAAGAAATCTGTTCTGGATGGCTGCAGGAAACTATTTTAGTTTAGTAAAATGATATAGCAGATCACCAATCAGCTATTCATAGACCACAGAATGTGACAGTCAAGAAACTGAGATGATAAAGGTATTACCAATTTATTTTGGCACTCCTCATTGAGTATATTTCTCTGCATTGTTATCTGGGATATAAGCTATAGCCTTACAAGTGTCCACTCCAAACAAAGATACGGTGGGCTGTTATTAAAGATGGTCAAAGACATTTGCCACTCCTTTCTTCATCCTCAAATTTTGGGATGTGAAATTACCATTCAGGAACCGAAGGCAAGTAATTCTTTGTGGGAAACATTCCAGCTGTACTGCCACAGTCAAATCTACTCTGTTTTGTCTTGGTTCACCTTGGAGTGAAAGTGGCATAGACTGTTTTTAAGATAGGCTATGGACTGGAGAATTTCGGCTTATTCTTTATATGCAGAACACCGATACTCGTAACATCTCACAGAAACAGTGCCAAGCCTGTGGCATGGAATAGCACGCCACAAGGATGGGGAAACGGGGCTGAAATGTGACCCCAGGCAAGGCTCGAAGCCAAGGCAAGTAACTCAATGAACATATTTCATACCAGACATTACTGATAATCCTGTGGTTGCAGTGGTAAATGCAGCTCTCTCAAATCACAGAGCAGCCTAGCACGAACAAGTAGGGTTTGTTTTGCTTTGTTACTAATACTGGAGATTAAAACACGCTATTACAAACCTTCTGCAGAGAGATTTGCTTTCACTTCAGCTACTCCCCAAGCCTTTCCACTTCCAGATACCATACAGCACTGGAAACACTTGAACACCTTGTAAGCATGCTGGGGAAAATATGTTTACTTTAAGTCAACATTTCCTTGCCCACTCTCCGATCTTCTGTGCCATAGTTGCAGCTCCAAACTGTACCCAGTGTTAACTTAGAATATCTGCTAAAACAAGAGTGAATGTAGAACTGCAGCTGAGTGCCAGCATTTCAAGGCTAAACAAGGTAACGTTTTGTAAATGCTGAATAGGACTTCATAGGTCTCCTGGGTTTGTGTAAGGATAAGAAGGTAGTGGAAATTAGACCTGTGACAGGAATTAAAACATGGTGGTTTTCAATTCTCTAGGCTTAAATCTAACTCAGATACTGCTGAGGATTATTGCTAATTATTCCCTTAAATTTCATAACTGTAAGTTCCCATAGAATTTAATAAAACACTACAGCTCTTCCCCAGACTCTGGAAATAGCTCTGGAAAATTTAATAAGCAACTCTAACTGCAAGTATTTTGGATTTAGAACTTTAAAGAATTGCCCTAGAAATTTAATGCAAAAAATCTTGTCTGCTCTTTGAACATAATCTCAGATTATTTTATTTGAATGTCCTGTAAGACTATGGTTTCTTGAGAACAGACTTTTTTATAAAATAAGTTTTTAAAGTCCTTACAGCTACTGAGTTGGGGTTTTTTTAGTTTTATGATCTTTTACATTTTGAAAAGGCAAAGGAACAAAGCTTAAAATGTATAATTTTTTTTAATCTTTCTAGAATCAGGAAAATTTAGGCTGGAAGGGCCTTCTGCAGGTCATCTAGTCCAAAGCAGTGCTCAGAATAGGGCCCATTTCAAATTGAGATCACTCAGCCAAGCTTTGAGAACTGCCAAGGACAGGGATTCCCCAGCCTCTGAAGCACCCA